ATTATTATTGTACAATATGTTTAATCCTACTTAGGCCCTCAGAAATACATAACATATAATCAGATCTCACCTTGACTCATAGCTGCCACATTTGACTCGGTCCAAAGTGCCCAGAGGGCCAAAGCCTCTCTGAACGGGGCAGACATCTATTCTGGGTGCTGCACGCTAAAGATCGAATATGCCAAGGTAAGTATTGCAGAGGCTCATCAAGCTTTGTGCTTGTTGAGTTAATGGTCCAGTGTGTAACATTTAGGAGGATCTTTTGGCAGAAACGGAATATATTCATATCGTCATGTCGGTGTATTTTCATTAGTGTATAATAAACTACATGTTTTTGTTACCCTAGAATGAGCTGTTTTTATCTACAGAGGGACAAGAGGTATTCAGTTGATTGCAATTTGCAACTTCACTGCTAGATTCCACTAAATCCTACACACTGGTCCTTTAACATCAGACGTTCGTGAAAAGAAACCATTTTTGATTTTTGTAATGTAATCCTATTCACAGCCAGCACGCCTTAATGTCTTCAAAAACGACCAGGACACGTGGGATTACACAAACCCCAACCTCAGTGGCCAAGGTAACATGCAGCCCCCAATCCTTCCTTCCCCCTTTTTTCTTCCTCTTTTCCTCTCATGCCACTGTATGGGATGTTCAGGGTTCTCTGCCTCCGGGGGTATTGCCTTTGATCACAGATGAATGGTGGTTTGAATGCTGCTCAACTCAGTGTTCAGAGGCAGTATTCCTGTGATGCCTTCACAGTCCTCATGCATTTTCTCACCACACAGCAGCCTCAAAGTAAGGGCATGAGGAGCAACCTCAAGGGCAGCCAACCTCAATTACAGGCTCATGCATGTGAAAAGCCCAACACACCCATCACAGCAGCATATGCAGGCGCACCATTCTTCACATAGGTTCACATTCCCTATAGAGCATGTCACAGCTGCACAACCTCACAACGCTGCCTACTCTAATCCAGTAAACACAACAGACACTATCACACCTGTTAGCTGCATTCTTTCAAACATAGTGGAGATTTTGTCATAGCTTAAATTAGACAACGCACTAGCCAGCTGAGGTGACTTGTTGTAACCACTAGGCACGCCTCCGGTTAAAGGTCCCATGAAATGTCTCTGGAGGTCTTAAACTTTTCCGAGCCTTTGATCTACTGCACAAGTATTTCTGAGTCAGGGTTGGATTTAATGCTTGAGGGAAGGTGGAGCATAAACAGCAGAATGAGCACTGTCAGTGACACCGTGTTGTTGAGGAGTAAACACAACATTGTTAGGTGTTAGCATCACAATCAGCAGAGGCAGTAGCTGCCGATTTTGGATGGCATTACAGTCTGTGATTGCATTTTGACTGGATGGATGGTTTTGCATATGCCCAAGTACATGATGAGTTATTTAAAAAATGGCAGTAAGCAAACTGGTGGGATTTTAGTGTCATGATTGGGTTAATTTTGTGAAATGTTTTGCATGTAACCACTGGTGGTGGAACAACAGGTCCAGGACACAAGAACATTCTGCATTTCATGGGACCTTTAATATAAAATATATATTAAAAAACACACTTGATAGTGTCGTCTACGTTGTTAAGCTATTAAATCAGTATTTGTAGTGTCAACTAATTTTTAAATTTGAGACTCTCTGATGAAGTTTGGCAAAGATAAAGATATTTTAAGCAGATAATGTGGACATAGGGTTTTAAATGTAGGGATTACATAATTTGTGATATGCATTTTGTTGATGTAATGCCAAAACAATATGTTAAAAAGTCTTCTCCACCACTTCAGTGATCAAAATACAGGTTTAAATACAGGACACTGCTAGATGCAAGTAGGCAAACTGTGAAGTAATCAGATTTCAGGGCAGCTGGAATTAGAATGCGTTAGGAGCCTGATGGAGAAGTCAATACTGCAGTTCATAATATTACATATTTGCTCTAGATTTTGTGTGGTTAGCTGTAGAATTTTGCTGGGATTTTTAACCTGATGACAGACTTTAGTGTGCTGTTTGGAGGAATTTTCTTATATTCTTTTTTTATTGCCAAACACTAAAGTTATCTAGTTGTTTTTCTTGTACACAACCAAGCACAACATGCACATTTCAAGTTTCATACAGGTGTTTGACATCTTTCTTTATATTGTAAAGTTTGTGCTGCCTTACCAAACAGAGGTACTCCTTGTGTCCTCACTGTGCAAACTCATACAGGCTTACCTCAACCTCTAAGCAGACACAGCGGCTTCTACAGCTACAGTATAACAGCACCCACAGCCACAGCTAATGTAAATCTGCTCTGTGGCATACATCGGACACAGTGGGGCAAAAAAAAAAATACCGGAACACAACCTCAACTCAGTACTTCCTTATTCCAAGTCCATCATCACCTCTATCTCCAACACCTGACATGGGAGTCCATTTTACTTGTGGTGGTGGACAGTAGCCACCATTTCAGTTTGAGGGGCAGAAATACTCCAAGGCCACGCGAACAGACACCTCGCATATCTACCACAGACTGATGTTGATAGATTGATAAGCATCTACCACCACCTCTTTACCAGTACAGCACATCTCATCTGCAGAGCCCTGAGGAGTCACCACTTTTTGACACAACACATTGATGATGAGGGCGGGAGTCAGGTGTGTGGTCGCTGGCGGCCACGCCTCCTAGCCCTTGGGATGTGCCTGCCATAACACAGCCACAGGAAGCAACAGAGGAGTTTTCAGACACACTCAGCCCTACCAGGGAACAGATGATACCACACACTGGGGCAGTAAACAAAAAAAGAGGCCATTCTCTTTCTCAGATGCAAATACTGCTCGTCTCTACCTTCCTGTGCCGAACACAACATGACAACACAACGAGCTGAATATCCACGGCAACACACAGCTGAACCGCCATGACAGCACATCGTCACGCAGATATTCCAGATGACTTATTGTCAAGCACTAGATGCCTTTTCATTTTGCAAGTGGCCGACAGCTATTAAACCAAATAAGCAAGCATCATTTGAGCGTCCATTTTTACACAAGAAGAAATATCCACGGGGGGGCCTATGAAGACACAAGCATCAAACACCTATCAAGCATACAAGCACAGACGCAAACAGATTAAAAATCCTTTCCTAAAGCTTTCTACATTTATGGACTCTGGTGTTCTGTTTTTTTCCCTGTACCTTCCTCCCCATTTCCCTCCTTCTCTCTTTGCTGTTCTTGTGTTGTTTCTGCGTTGTTTCATTTTCCCTTTTTTTGCACTGGCCCATAGTGACGCCTTTAACACCTCCCGTGTGATGCAGGTTTGGCTCAGTGTGTCTGTGGACAGACAGCCCATTCTCAAACGGTGCAAATGTCCTGCTTTGTGGTCAGAGCACGGTAAGCTGGAAATGAGCCTCTAATAGCAACTTTGAAAACAAACTGACAGCAAGTCAAAACCAAGCATGGATGTGTGGATGTACTTTTCTTCCTGGTGGTGGGGATGCAAGGAAGGAAAGAAGGAAGAAAAGACTGAAGAGGGAGAATGAGTTGAGGCTGGAGTCAAGAGGTTGGCGGGTAGCATCCTTGCTGAAGACTGCCCCCTACCTGCCCACTGTGTCCCATGCTCCATGTGTGGTGCTGTAAGTACTTGACAGAAATGAATGAATAATCTGACTTGATGGTTAAAATTATAAAGTTATTGTGAAACCAAAACACCATGAATGCTGTTGTCTTAAATTGTTGAGCCTTCATGTTAATACTACAAAATGATACAGACCCATAGTAACACCACTTCAGCAATGTAATCGACAAACTGGCTCTGAATTCTCTCGGCAACTTTCTGTTCATAAATTATTGTTAAATAGTCTAAGAATTTGCTACATTTATGGCCGTCGGATTTATTACACTACCTCATGCGCCACTCAGTAGTTAAAAATTATTAACTTTGATACCTAGGTAAAGTTTAGTCCTGTCAAGGGGATTTAGATCTTACCGTCTTTTAGCAATAGTAGCAGTTAATATGGATCTTCCAAATTGTCACTTACAAAGGTAGGGTTTTATTTTACAGGTGTGGATTTTGGTTTTATTGCAGGTTTTTTCTATTTGGTTTTAGTACTGTTCTAAGGGTGCTGTCACACCTTGTGGTGACACATTATAATGACATAATCGCAGGAGGTTTTGTTTGCCCAAGTGTGAGTATAATGGAATTCCAATAGATTAATGGTTTTATTTCTATTTTAATCAGAATTTGTTATATGCAGAATGGGTTATGGAAGAGGGGCTTCTAATTAAAGTCCTAATTTTGTGACTACTCCCAGTGATGTCCCCTTGTGTTGCCTGTTAGTCTGTGTCTTGGTGGCACATTCAATTAACAATCGGCAATTTCAAGCACATGATGAGCAGCCACTGATTTAGGATGATTAACTTCCCATCTGTTTTCCCAATGTTCACATCACTGTACCAGCAGTGTGTGTGTGCATTAATAAACATTATGCAGATAAATGGTTAGGATACAGTTAAGGGTGTATTTGGGATAGTAAATCTATTTTATGTAACAGATGTGAAATAGATTTAATGTCCTAAGCTGACTGTAACCAAAATATGATTTCAGTTTCACCAACAGATGTGAAATAAGTTTGGGCGATAGTAAGAAAGCCTGTTTGCTGACAGGTCACTGCAGCCCTTAACCTGCTGGAGTGCAGCAGTATGGTAGTGTGGATCTGTCCTTGACACTACATTATTTATTGTTGTGGTTATTTCCATCATGACAGGGCTGCATCTTAAAGTAGTTTCAGCTGAGATGTTCAGAAAATGCATTTTAAGTAACAAATATTTTTTTCATTTGGCTCATACTTACTGATACTCTTTAAAAGTTACCATAGATGGACAGTTCTGACTTTTCACAAACACCAATTTACCAACAAGTCTCATGAGGAAGAAAATCCTCAGGTCTGATTGAAAAGCTTTATGTTGATATCGATATATACTGCTGATGTTTGTCTACAAAAAAGCATGTACACAGAGTTCATAACCAGAATGAAATATTTATTGAAAATAACTCAATTTGAAATGAGAACATGAAATGCTTTTCATAATTAAAACGTTAGGAAGTGGCCTCTATAAACCGGGTGGCTGTTGATGCAAAAATTAACCCCTGGGTTTTGTTGACTTATGCTTCTAGAGAGCTTTAAAAAAAACAAAACAAAAAAAAGGGCTACTATGGAGTATGTCAGTACGTATTTTCTGTTGATGAATTGAACCCAGTCAACAATTTGGGTTTAATTTTTTTCTCTTCCACAATGTAATCTAGTCAATCCGTCAGTCCTGATGTCTATTCACTTCTAATGTTATACCTGTGTCTTATGGTGGTTTGTGATAACTGTATAGTTCTCCTAGTTTTCAATAAAACATGCTTAGACTGCAGGTGCTGCTCATAGCACTGATGCATGTTTTCTCTCTGATTTTCTACTTGAATGTTTCTATTCCATATAATTGCCTAGGATGTTAAGAAATGTTTATACAGTGTTGCCAAATTTATACATTTTGGATTTGACATGTGTATATGTGTACCTGCACAGATGCTGATGGTGAAGGCAATTGGAACAATTCACAAGGTGTGTGTGTGTGTGTCTGTGTGTGTGTGTGTGTTTGTACTAGGATGGCTGATTTAGGAGGTCTTTAAAAAAATGTTTGAAAGCTGTATTTCAAAATCATTGTTCAAAAATCTCCATTATGTCACATATTAGATTAGAAAAATAGAGCCTGCAGACTTTTTTGTTTTACACCTTAGATGTCAGGCCCTTCTGTTGCATGTTAATCACAGCCTCGTCCCTTAGCACATTGTAGCCCATGTAAGGTACCTGTTTGATACCTTTTAGCCAGGAAGCTGTTTGATATGCAACTTTTATTTTACCATTTTAGATCCTAATGCCAATCCCAACAAACGCCAGAGGCAGCCTGCTCTCCTGGGAGACCATCCACCTGATTATGGTAAATATCCAATAAAGAAACTGGTCTGATCTTAAGAAGAATGGGTCATATTCCATCCTGTATCTGTACTGTATCTGTGATTTTTCTCTCTAAGGTGGCCCTCAAGGAGGTTATCATGGCTACAGTGACGACAACTACGGTCCCCCTCCTCCCCACCGCATGGGGCCAGGTATGGGCGGGCGCGGTCGTGGTAGCCAGCGCTATGGCCCTGGATATGGACCACCACCCCCTGAATACGGCCCTCATGCTGACTCGCCAGTTCTTATGGTATATGGTCTTGAACCCTCCAAGATCAATGCTGACAAGGTCTTCAACATCTTCTGCCTCTATGGCAATGTAGAGAGGGTGAGTGAAGTGAGCATCAGTCATTACACACCACATTAAACCGCTCATTAATGTGATGAGTAAAAAGTTAGTGTAAACAGTTCACTATCAACTCAAAATCTATTGGACATGACTTGGAGCTGAGGCGAGCCAAATGAACTCAAGCAGACACAGATAATTTAAACGGGAGTTTTTCCCAGCCCGTACAGTTATCATGAGGGGAAATTAGCTATAGAGACCAAAATCGTTGTCGTACCAGCCTGTAAACATTGTTTTTAATTTGGGGCCTTACGGAGATTGACTCACTTTTGGAGTCTGCCTCAAGTGGCCATTCGAGGAACTGCAGTTTTTGCACAAATTAATTTTTAAACCCAGAGGTTGCCGCATGGTTTTAAACTGCTAGTCAGACGAAACAGGCAAATGGAAGACCATTTTTTCACTATTTGTTATCATTTCTTCGACTGAAATAAAGGTAATCAAGAAACTGACAGATTAACTGATAATGAAAATAATTATTAGTTCTGGCATCATGCTCTTGTTTGTGTGAGTCAGCTGGATGTTTTTTTCCCTTCAGATTAAGTTCATGAAGAGTAAGCCAGGAGCAGCAATGGTGGAGATGGGAGACTGTTACTCTGTGGACAGGGCCATCACTCACCTCAACAACAACTTCCTTTTCGGACAGAAACTCAACGTTTGGTAAGAGCAGCTGTCCAACAATTCCGAAACCTTAGCATAGACTATTAAAAGTGCAGAGCTAGATCTGTAAGACCTCTGGCCCTGTTTCCTCTGCAGTGTGTCCAAGCAGCAGGCTATTGTGCCAGGGCAGTGCTACCAGTTAGAGGACAACACCAGCAGCTTCAAAGATTTCCATGGATCCCGCAACAACCGCTTCACCTCCCCAGAGCAGGCGGCCAAGAACAGAATCCAACACCCCAGCAACGTCTTGCACTTCTTTAACGCACAGCCCGACATCTCTGTAGAGATCTTCAACCAGGTCAGAAAAGCTACCAGGGTCCTCTCTGAAGTGTACATGTTCCACAGACCACAGCCTCAGATTCTCACTGTAACTGGTCTTTCCTTCCAGGTCTGCGATGAACTGGGAATTAAGAGCCCCACAAGTGTCAAACTTTTCACTGGAAAGAGTGAGTAATCTCTGTTTGACAGCCAGACCAGTAATATAAACCAGTTTTGTTGAAGAGTGCTTTGATTTTCTGATGAACAATATTAATGATGATTCTGGTTTCTAGACTTTTAAAAAGTAATGAGTGGATAAGTAGATGTGTGTGTAAGAATACAAAAATTAAACCATTTCTATACACTTACAGTACAGGGGCTGGGAACATTGTTTGAGTGTACACAGAAGGCACAGTCTGTATGTACACCTTACAGTTTCTATTTTATCTGCAATACTCAGTCAGTTGCCAACAACGCATTGACATACTGTGAAACTATCCATGTGACAGGTAATCAGAGCAAACGTCAGATTACTTTCTGAAAGGTATAATTTGCTAACTAGATCATTTAAAATGGGATCCAAGAGAAAAATGTTTAATTAGTTTCAGCAGCATAAATATTGTTTACTGAAGTGTCTATAAGTCAATGTTATAGAAAAGGTTAAAATTCTCAATTAATTTGAATTCACTTAGTTAAAATTGCATGACATACATTACATTTGAATATTGATATTTTAGTTCACGGCATTAACACGGTTCAGTATTATTCAGTTTGGTGATCTAATCAGTCATCTTGTGTGCCACGAAAGGTGAGCGAAGTTCATCTGGCCTTCTGGAGTGGGAATCCATCAATGATGCCATGGAAGCCCTAGCTTTGATGAACCATTACCAGATGAAAAATCCTAGTAAGTTCCCCTCTTATTACATTCACATACAGACATGGTTCTTAAAAGTTGGCCATGTAGTTGATTTGATTTACTGTACATTTTAAAGCCTTCATATTGTCCTTTTAAAATGTGTTTTCTTCCTTCTTCCAGGTGGGCCTTACCCTTACACACTGAAACTGTGTTTCTCAACCACACACCATGCCAACTAAATACTCTCCCTTCAAACTATTTGTAACATTTAGTGTCTTTGAATAGAGAATATTGTAGTTCTGTTGTTAAAACAATCAGTATTGACAAAAACTAGGATTGATGTGGTTTAGAACATGTTACTTAAACTATGATTTTGTATGATTTATTTTACTTTAACCATGTTTTCCAATAAGTTGTTAATTTTGTATGTTCACAACACTAGATTTGAATAACCCCCCACTATCATGAAATAAAATTTCAATGTGGACCTCAGTTTTTGTTTTCTAAATCAAGTTAACACTAATACTAACGTGAATGTTGATGTAACCAGGGTTCACATCTTCACAGATGGTTTGTATTGTATGTTTTCACCCTTGGCAGGGAAACATTAGCCATTCATGTGGAAATAAAAATATTGGTTTTCTGGATGAAAAAGTCACATTGACATGTCTGAGCTTGTACTGAATGTTAGGGTGCCTTCGGTAACAATGAATAGATAACCTTAATATGTTGGTACCTGGACTGAAGAAGAGTATCACTATGTAGATGATCACTGTGGCAGGCATGAAGGAGATGGTTATCTGTAAGAAGAGTGTTTGGTCACTATCAGTATTTGAGGCGATGGCGGCAAGGAAAAACTTCCTTTTAAGAGGCAGAAACCTCAGACAGACCCTTCGGCTTTGGGTGGGTGGTCGTCTGCCCTGACCAGTTGGGGTGAAAGACAGACAGACAGACAGAGAGAGAGCAGAGGTAACGACAGAAGGACAGAGACAAAGGTGCACAGCAACAACAGTAGCAACAACTATACTAATAGTAGTGACTGATGATGATGAACATGAAGAAGAAGATGATGATGACAAGGATGGTGGACAATGAGCAGTGACTATAGTAATAATAACAATAATATCAGTGATATTAGCAATGGCAGTCAAGCAGGACCATGGCCGGAGGATCCACGAGAACCTCCAAGTAAATACATGTACTCAGATCTACACTGCATTGTTTTCAGTATCACAGTTTAGATTAATTAAAGCTGTTATACAATTTAATTAATTGGCATTTTTACTTACATATTGATTGTAATGTAATTATGTGGTATTAAGCAGGTGAGGTCTTAGCAGCACATACAAAATACATGGCAGGAGATTAAGTACATTTATTTGTACCTACTGACCACACTTTATTTGGTGTTGTCTCTGTTTCCTTGATTAATTGTTGGCTGCATGCATATATCATGGTGTTCTTGTAACTCCAGATAGATCTATTAATTGGGTGAATTAGCATTTTAAGAAAATATAATTTTAAAAAATGCCTGCAGACACATATCGGCCATCAGTCGCCCTGCTCTCAGCATTGGCGTTGAAGAACCTAAATCGGTCCACCACTACTTGTAAGGTTTCATTTCTCCAAATAGTTCTTACTGCTAAACCAAGAAGAGAATATACAGCAAGTTTTTTACAGCACACGTTGTTGCATACATGCATAAAAACGTTTTTGAATAGAAATTTGATCAAGGAAAATCTGAACTCAAGGTACTAGATGTTTTCCTGGAGCTTTAATCCGCATCTGGTGGCCTTCATCGGCAGATGAGATTTGCTCGGTTTCTCATCTGTTACAGTACAAAGACTGCTGCTGGAGGCTTTAGAAGAGTTCCCTTTTTTTCTTTTTGTTGTCAAATAACGTCAATATTTCTTTGGTTATATTCACTTTTGTCTTTAAAACACATTATATTAATTATATATTTATATACATACATAATACGTGCCTCGTTTACCTGTTCCGTGTAACGTTAACTTACCTCCCTGACTGTTCGTACAGTACTATAAGTATTCGCAAAAGAAAAAGAAAAACATAGTGGCGGAAAAAAAAAAAAAAAAAACTACAACTCCCAGCACGCACTGAGCCTCAGTCGCGTAGGTGTTTCCGGTGTCTTATGACATTTTACTTCCTTCCACACAGACCGACACGAACAAATCGAGAAAGAAGACGTCGCTAACTTTTAAACGCTGTCGTCAACAGCCGCCTTCTGAGCGCAGTTTTCGGTTAGTTTCCGTCTTAAAATGGCCGCCATGTTGCGAGTGGTGTGTGAGAACTAAAGAATAGTTGAAAACGTAGACCATAACGCGTAGGCCTCCGAAGAAAGTTTGGTCGAGGGCCTGTAAACAACATGTCCTCCGCCTCGCAGTCTTCCTCTAGACGGCAATGGTGCTACCTCTGCGATCTGCCCAAGATGCCCTGGGCCATGCTGTGGGAGTTCAGCGAGGCTGTGTGCCGGGGATGTGTCAACTACGACGGGGCAGACAGAATAGAGCTCCTCATTGAAACTGCAAGGCAACTGAAGAGCACGCACGGAGTTTTAGACGGCAGGTCTCCCGGTCCACAGCAGGGAAAACCCAGCTCGGCCGGGCCCATTGAAGCAGGGCGGCAGCATGGAGAGCGTATAGATAGGGGGAGGGGTGAGTATGGGGTGTCTTCTCGCCTCCCCAATGGCCTGCACAGAGCTGAAGATGTGGCCTTGTCAGAGGGTAGCAGACAGAGCCCAAACACCCGTCGGGCTATAGTTGGGGCAGTTCCTAATCTTCATGGCGCCATATCTCATGCATTGATAGCTCAGGGGTTAGTAGCAGCTCCTCACGGGCTTTTGGCCCCGTTATCAGGCTCCAGGGCTGGGGGCACTCCTATTGCAGTCTCAGCTGGCCCCATAATGAGTGAGGCTGGCAGAAGACAGGCTGTGTGTGTGGGAGCTAGCACCTCTGCTCTGGTGGGTATAGATGCAGCAGTGTGGAGGAACAATGAAGTGATGGCCGAACTGAATGAGGTGGCTCGCAGCAGGGTTGAAGGCTGGCCAAACCGTCCCAAAGCAGTCCGGGATGTTCTTGTATCTCTCAGCAGCTGTGTCCCCTTTAATGTGCGCTTCAGGAAAGACCATACCCTGATGGGTCGTGTTCTGGCCTTTGATGCCAGCACAACTCCAGAGTTTGAGCTGAAGGTGTTTGTGGAGTATCCTGCCGGCTCTGGAATGATCTTCTCAGGAGTCCCAGACCTGGTCAGGCAGATGTTCCGGGACTCGGCCAAAGATGCAGGTAAAGCGGTGAACTCTGGCCTGCGCTATGTGGAATATGAGAAGCGGCAAGGCACAGGAGATTGGCGCGGGCTGTCTGAGCTGCTGAATGATGGTGTGCGTATGTTTAAAGAACCCCCGATCCCAGAGGTTTTGCCACAGCCAGATGCAGGGTTGCCTATGGCAGCCGCTGGACGCCCTGTACCAGCGAAGAGCACGACCCGCCGTCGCAAAGCTTCTCCAGGCTCTGAGAATGGAGAGAGCGAAGGGAGGCCGGATCACCCGTCAAGAGAGCCGTGGCCCCGAGGCGCTTACTCCGGCATGGAACCTCTTCCTGGCATGGCCGCCCCTCAAGAGGGCCCACCCCGTTTACACAGCCAGCCCTCACCCATCTCAGCGCTCATGGGAGTTGCAGACAGCCTGAGCTCCAGCCAGATGGCCAGAGATAGCCCCGGCATGTCCGCAGCCCACTCTTCAGCCGGGCGCCCCACCAGCAGCAGCCCCTCCACCGCCTCCACCTCAGTCTCCCAGGCATCCTTGGGGCAGGGTTTGAGCGCAGTGGGGCCGAGCAGCAACGCCAGCGCCGGGGAGAGCTCAAGCAGCGCCCAGGGCACCCTGCTCTGCTGCACCCTCTGCCGAGAGCGCTTGGAGGACACACATTTTGTCCAGTGTCCCTCCGTACCGCACCACAAGTTCTGCTTCCCCTGTACCAGAGGGTTCATCCGGAGCCAAGGTCAAGGCGGGGAGGTGTACTGCCCCAGTGGAGAGCGCTGTCCCCTGGCTGGATCCACTGTGCCTTGGGCCTTCATGCAGGGAGAAATCTCAACCATCCTGGCCGGAGACGGAGATGTGACAGTAAAGAAGGAGAACGACCCTTGACATCTCCATGCTGTTGTGGTGAATGGTAAGACAGCTGCTGTCCTGAGAGGGATGCTTCTGATATCACCATTTCGTAATCAGCTGTTACATAAACCTTCTGATAAATAAAACCGTCTGAACTAAGCAAATTATTAGTCCCCAGTGAGAGAGGATTCAGTAAATTAGAGTTGTTAATGAGAATCAGTTTTATCAGCAGTGAAAAGGTTTCATACGTTCTCATTATTCAGCTGCTGCAAATTACACAGTGGAAGTGAGTGTAGCTGATTTGTAAAGCAAGTCTTTAGTTTTCAGGTCATCTTTTAATCATGGTTTAATCAGTATTCATAATTTAAGTTCTCTTACCTTCCAGACTATAAGAAAGAATGTACAAAGGTGAAGTACATCATTGGCAGGAGTGTGGGCCGATTCTAGCTGCTATCAGAAGAGTAGCTATGTGCTGTATATAATCACTGAGATTGTGTAAAAAGAGACAGAAAGATGATACATATAAATAGCATCATTATCACAATGATTAGTATTATACACAACACACTGTGACCTATGCAGGCTCCTGTAGAATAAATGTCTCTTGGTGGCACTCACAATGGCTGTAGAATTAGCGGTGTAAGTAATTGTTTAAACACAAACATTATCTCTGCCAACTTTAGCTCATCAACTCGCTCACACTGTAACTCATGTGAGAAATTCTTCCCTTGCGTTATGTTTACACTGTGTGTGTGTGTGTGTGTGTGTGTGTGTGTGTGTGTGTGTGTGTGTGTGTGTGTAGAGAGAGACACTGCAGTGATGCCACACTCATTCTCCTCTGCAATGTGTAAATCTGCCTAAAGCACATTCCACTTTGTATAATTGACAGGATTCATTCAGCCGACACAAACTAAGGTGCACTCTGTCATGGTTTGGAGGGACTTTTACAGTTTGAAGCTGATTTAGAGATCAGATGTAGAGATGAGAAGTCTGGCATCACCATCTGTTTTTAAAATTCAAAAAATAACTGAAATGACACAGGATAAAATAACTTAGTGTCATCAACTTACCACTGTACGTATAGACACTACTTTAATATTAGACCGTGTGTTCTTTTTAGGACCCTCTTAATTAGGGCTGTACAATTAATCACAATGTTATCGAAATTGCAGTATGGCCAGATCACAAAGGCTGCAATGCTTTGATAAAGGTAAAATGTGTGAGAGCATTATAATGAAGCACTGTAGTGCTGCAGAGATTCCCTGGCCTCAAAAGTAAAAGAAAAATCCCACTTGTTGCTTGGTACAGACCCCAACAAATGTCACATCAAGCTTCTAACAGTTTTTTTTTTTTCACTGAAAATAACTACAAAAATAATCATTCCCACTAATTGTTATATATCATGATCACAGTATCCATCAAAATAGTAATTGTTTGACCATATCATGCGGCCCTATTCCTAATACACTATACGATGCAAATGAATACCCTCTTCAGTCAAAAGACGACACAACCAGTAGTTAGGATAAGGCCTACAGTTAAAATACACAAATTCACAAACTTACATGTTTGTGTACTCAACTGCAATAATTATTTATGGTAATATAATTTAGTAAGTAACGTAACCTGTACCCACATAAGTGTCACAAAATGAATGGATGGCTAACCAATGAATTATTGTCTGGAATTAATGAACACTGCCTATTGTGAGTGGATGCCCCCTAGCTACTGTAGCTAGCAGCAGTCCTAAAGAATGTCACTGTGCCGTTAGAAAAGAAAGTTACTCTTACGTTTGTGTATATGTTCTCACACACATTTTCTTCTCTTTCCACAGTGGATCAAACACTTTGAAAGCACTTCCCTATTATCTCAAGCAGAGGTCAACTTTGGCTGCAGTTCATCATGTGTGCCTCTGAGAAGAGAATAACTCTGAACCCCAGGAGGACAGCTACACAAACACCGTTACTAAAGACACAACAAGACTCACTTTTGAGAAGAGGGACATGTCCACGTGTCAGGGCTGGGCTCACCTGTGAAGGCTGGGCTGCTACGTCACATCTGAATGTTGAGTCCTGACCAAAACCCCCTCCCCCCCTTCTTTGTCCAGGGGCCTCTCATCAGGCCTAATTTTCAGAGCCCAGGATAGAAAGCACACACTTGTTTTAAGAATGACAATCCATTTTGTCCTTCATTTGTTTTTGTTTTATACGTTGAATACTGTCCTACACAGGTGGATCACGGCGATGTTGATAGATGGTTTGACAGAATCATGCAATTCTTCGAAAAACAAATGAATGTTCCAAACGTGGCAAAACCATTTGGTCCTTAAAGCCAAGGCTTGAAAAAATGTAATCCCACAATATGTCTCTTAGGTAATCTCCTTATATTGTATGTCAAAAATGTGAATTTACTTTCAATATGGCTATGTAATTTCTATTTTTGATACAATACAAATTTATATGTATTTGTTTATAGTGATAAGAAGACCAAAGATGGCTTCATGCTCAATGTAATTTTATTGTATTGTAGCTGTGTATGCTGTATTCACTGATAACCTTGGCATCAGTCACTAATTTGTTCATCTATCACAGAAGTAAGCTTGTTTTGTCTATTTACTTTTTGAATTATATGTATGGTAAGATAATTAGCACCACAATCTTCAATGGTTAACCCACATATTCATGTGATCATAACAGGTCAATTCTACAATAAATGACAAAATAGTCATTAGTTATAGCTGGTTTATTCTATCAACCTCAAATGTATAGCACATTGTTGAAACTGGCATTTTTATAAAATCTTTTATTTTAAATATATTGACAAAAACACAAAACCCACACTAGATATTGTATAAGCCCTTGGAAATGCATCAATATGCACAGAATTAGCATCTATCCCTTGAACCACAATTAGTTTTGTAAACGCTGCTTGTGGAGTGCAAAATTAATTTATGTGATCAGCCATTCAGAATATAAAATACATGACTTGATTAAGAACACTGCACCAAAACATACAAAAATAGATGTTTACACCACAACCCT